GGCCCGTTTCATACGCCGTACTTCACATGTGCCGAATACATTAAAAACAATAGGTAATGAGGCATTTCAGCTCATTATCTATTGTCTTTAATGTATTCGGCACATGTGAAGTACGGCGTATGAAACGGGCCTAAAAGGTCACATCAACCACGCCAGTGAAGTGATTCTAATTAACCACAGTTAATAGAATAGATGGTTTGGAAACTCAATAGAATAACAATACAACAGGGTTTATTTTAATTAACGTGCAGTTCTACACAAAATGTGCAGTTCTAAATCCATTTGTGCAGTTCTTAAAACACAACTGTGTAGTCACCAAATTAACAAAAATAGCCTTAATTAAAACAGTCTTCTAGCTCACTTACTCGTTACCCTTGTGGATGCTCCAAAAAATTCCAGAAATGCTGTCATTAATTGAGCATCAAAAATATAAACTTTTTGGGGGGAGGACTCTAGACCTTCCTATTTTCCTCACAGATCACTTTAATGCGTGCTGGGGTAATGGAAAAGAAGGTAAAATTAATGGGGCGAGCGAAGCTTCCCAAAAGAAATTCGAGTGGGAGAACCTAATATTTCTTTGCTGCCTCAAATGCAAATTTAAGGTTGTTATATATTGAATATCCATGATTCCCAGTTACATGCTTTGAAACAGTTTTCCCAGAACTTAAGAGCCTCCAGATTCAAATTGTTTGGGACGAGAACACCCCCTAGGTCCCGCACCCAAAATCGAGTTTGTCTGGCCTTTCTCCAATTCTCCCACCATTATTCTGTCACCTATAAGCGGATAAAAAATTCTTCGACCCACCCCCCCCCCAAGTCAAACACCCGTTGTCTTCGTAACATCCCTATATGTGCAATTCTAAATTTTTCTTAAAATAAACCCCCCAATACAACTCATTATCTATGTTAGTCAACGTTTATTCATAAATATGTTCTTCGCCTTCACGTGTGTATTGTATTTTTGCCAAATTCACCAATTGGACCCAGCTAATTTATACAATATAGTGGAATATAAACAAGGACAAGTTAAAGGTTTGACAGTTCGACTACACAACGTAGTTTTAATAAACAACTATAAATATACGTTGTAGACTCATAAACATACGTTGTGTACTTGTGTTCATTTGCATAATCATAGGCGTACCGGGCGGGGGGGGGCAGTCTCCCAGTGTTTTAAAATGGGCAATATCTGATCAACAGTCAAGCAATTTTGTTAGTTATAAAATAAATGGGACAAATTCTATCAATTTTGTCGAAATTTTGTTAATCGGTGGGAAATGCTTTTTTTGAAAACTTCAGCGATGTTACGAAAATTTTGTATGTCTGAAAATATTTGACCCCCTAAATGGTATTACTGATCAAAATTGGGGGGGGGGGGGAGGTCGCCAAAATAATATTTCCGGAAAAAAAAATTTGGTACTAGTCGGGCACAATCACGAAAAGTCGTGCAAATTTTTTTTCGCCCCCCTATATTTTTCCCTCCGGTACGCCCATGTGCATAATTATAGATTTGCACCATATTTCTAGATCTACCGAAAAGGTCTTTTATTTTCTTAAAAATTCATACAATTTGCCAACCTCGCAAGCCAGGGTCTTTTACCTGCGCTCGGGCTCCGGCGAAGACCCTGGTTCCCTTAACCTGAAGTTCAGGCACTATCACAGAATAGGGCCTGACACACAACCTATCTAAAGTGTGGGATTCCCGTCCACCTGGTGGACGGGAAATCTGATTGGTTGATCAGCATCATGATGGATTTTGATTGGTTGCAAGTTCACATAAACAACAGTTTTAAAAATAGCTTGGTCAAGGCGAGAATTAATATAAAGGTCAAACGCACGTAACAAATTCCGTTATCGATTTCTTCGAATTTCTTTTCTTTTATGCTTTATGGCAGAAAATAAATCAAACAAACAGTATTTTGAAAGGGCTTCATCAAAATCTTTGACGAACTTTGGATACACACGACGCTGAAAGAACAGCCAAACTAGTCATGTATTCGAAAGCTTGTTGTTGACAGCCAAGATCTTCTGCCAAATTGCTTCGCCGGCAAAAGTCTTATTTCTAATATCAGATCCTACCGGCGTTGTTTTCTGAGCTACATCGCCTTCTTCGTGGTATGATTGAGAATTTAATTGTTGCTGTTATTAGCCCGTTAGTCGTTAGAGTATATCCGCGTCCAGCAAGTTGAGACCTTGAGAAAGCTTGGCAGTCAAGCCGTGCACAGAAGTGACTAATTAAATCTTTGTTTGCTGTTCGCCTGTTCGGTTAAATAGAGAAACTGACTCTTAATTATATAAAAGTACCTTGAATTTTTAAGTTTAATTAAAAAGCAAAATGCTCTGCGGACATGTTCATGAGAATATCATTTTTTGTCTCTTCTGTGCTGGTGTTGTGTACTCAGGTGAATAATATGTTTGTGATGTTACTCTGAGTGCATATCCACACCGGTCGAGCTTGAAAAATATGCCCGGCCACGGTGGGATTCGAACCTACGACCTTTGGAATACTAGCCCAATGCTCTTCCAACTGAGCTACGCGGTCAGGACGGTTCGAGTAAGTGATATTTCGGAACAGTATCTAGTTCCTTCAATACCAATGTGTTCGTGTAATATGAATTTTTTCTGTGCTGGTGTTGTGTACTCAGGTGAATAATATGTTTGTGATGTTACTCTGAGTGCATATCCACACCGGGCGAGCTTGAAAAATATGCCCGGCCACGGTGGAATTCGAACCTACGACCTTTGGAATACTAGCCCAATGTTCTTCCAAGGAAGAGCATTGGGCTAGTATTCCAAAGGTCGTAGGTTCGAATCCCACCGTGGCCGGGCATATTTTTCAAGCTCGCCCGGTGTGGATATGCACTCAGAGTAACATCGCAAACATATTATTCACCTGAGTACACAACACCAACACAGAAAAATTCATATTACTAGAACACATTGGTATTGAATGAACTAGATACTGTTCCGAAATATCACTTACTCGAACCGTCCTGACCGCGTAGCTCAGTTGGAAGAGCATTGCGCTAGTATTCCAAAGGTCGTAGGTTCGAATCTCACCGTGGCCGGGCATATTTTTCAAGCTCGCCCGGTGTGGATATGCACCCAGAGTAACATCGCAAACATATTATTCACCTGAGTAGACAACACCAACACAGGAAAAAAAAATTCATATTACTAGAACATATTGGTATTGAAGGAACCAGATACTGTTCCGAAATATCACTTACTCAAACCGTCCTGACCGCGTAGCTCAGTTCGAAGAGCATTGGGCTAGTATTCCAAAGGTCGTAGGTTCGAATCCCACCGTGGCCGGGCATATTTTTCAAGCTCGCCCGGTGTGGATATGCACTCAGAGTATCATCGCAAACATATTATTCACCTGAGTACACAACACCAACACAGAAAAATTCATATTACTAGAACACATTGGTATTGAAGGAACTAGATAATGTTCCGAAATATCACTTACTCGAACCGTCCTGACCGCGTAGCTCAGTTGGAAGAGCATTGGGCTAGTATTCCAAAGGTCGTAGGTTCGAATCCCACCGTGGCCGGGCATATTTTTCAAGCTCGCCCGGTGTGGATATGCACTCAGAGTAACATCACAAACATATTATTCACCTGAGTACACAACACCAGCACAGAAGAGATTCATATTACAAGAACACATTGGTATTGAAGGAACTAGATACTGTTCCGAAATATCACTTACTCGAACCGTCCTGACCGCGTAGCTCAGTTGGAAGAGCATTGGGCTAGTATTCCAAAGGTCGTAGGTTCGAATCCCACCGTGGCCGGGCATATTTTTCAAGCTCGCCCGGTGTGGATATGCACTCAGAGTAACATCACAAACATATTATTTACCTGAGTACACAACACCAGCACAGAAGAGATTCATATTACAAGAACACATTGGTATTGAAGGAACTAGATACTGTTCCGAAATATCACTTACTCGAACCGTCCTGACCGCGTAGCTCAGTTGGAAGAGCATTGGGCTAGTATTCCAAAGGTCGTAGGTTCGAATCCCACCGTGGCCGGGCATATTTTTCAAGCTCGCCCGGTGGGGATATGCACTCAGAGTAACATGGCAAACATATTATTCACCTGAGTACACAACACCAACACAGAGAAAAAAAAAATTCATATTACCAGAACATATTGGTATTGAAGGAACCAGATACTGTTCCGAAATATCACTTACTCGAACCGTCCTGACCGCGTAGCTCAGTTGGAAGAGCATTGGGCTAGTATTCCAAAGGTCGTAGGTTCGAATCCCACCGTGGCCAGGCATATTTTTCAAGCTCGCCCGGTGTGGATATGCACTCAGAGTAGCATCACAAACATATCATTTTTTGTGTAACGAAATCTACAACACTTGTCAATCATATTGCTTGTGTGTCTAAAAATAACATGTGGGCGTCCCACGGTCTAGACAGGTTTTGTGTCAGGCCCTATTTCAAATTAGGACCTGAACTTCAGGTTATGGTTCCCTCTGGTCACGTGAACCCCCAGATTTTAGGGGTAATTCAAATTGCCGCCTCTTTGCCATTTAGGGAGGAGTGGTATGGGGAATTCAAGAGCGAAAACGAAAACATCTATAACCTGTGATCTATAACTATGCCTATGGAAAATACGGCTATTTACGCTCCGTATTAACCCATATTTTGGGTTTTGTCGGTTTTTGTGTTATCTTTTATCAAATATGTCACCGCTTGGCGCTTGATAGCTTTTTACACTTACTTGATATAATTTGCATGGCTGGAGGTCTGTTTTACACCTTGAAGTGGAGCCATTATTTACTATCAACACAAAGAAAATAAAGGTCGAATGCACACTTATACAAAGTCAAAGTACAGTATTCAGTACAACCTCCGTCGCAGGGACTTTCCACCGGCTGGGAAAAACCCTGCTATCGGCTGGTCACGTGTCTCCCAGAATCTGGGAGATAACAAACAATTTCAATCAGGGTGGGTACCTAAGTACGTTTTGTCATTGAGCAAGGAGTGAGCGAAGAAATAACTCAGAAATCATGCAGGAAATATTTACAAAATTGTATATTTTATTTGTCATGAAGATTATCAATGTTACACAACAGTAAATATCAAATTTCATTGTGGCAGAATGTTGGTGAGCAAAGATAGATCAGATTTCAATAGACAAATTATGCCGACACAGCTCGTCGAAGAAATCAACACGTTGCAAACGTTACAAGAAAATATATTTCTTTACCAGTACCGACCGATGTGGCTGTTATTTAGCTGTTGATGTCTATCCTAAAGGATTTATTTAATACTGAGATGTGTAACGAAATATATAGAGATCTTTTGATTTCTGAAATATCGCAAACTATGTTGCTTTGTAAACAATGCTACTCGGACTGCAGAAACTTCAGACCATCCTCAGAGCTTGATGCTCAAGAAATATGTCGAAGTATACCTCCCTGTTATCAAACCTACGGTAAAATAATCCGACAATAGCCTACTCAAAGATAAGTGAAAGACTCGTCTGTGCGTGTATGTTACAAATACGAATACTAAATATGTTTGACATTTAGGACATTTAGAGAATGCAGTCCTCATGATAAATTTGATAAATATAGCTTTAATTGTGACATCAGCTTTACTTACTTTACTGTACTGAAGTACTTTGTGAAATATAAACTGAATCAAACTCTTAAGACTATATAAAGTGTTAATATATCTGTGGTGGGTACATATGACTATATATGACTGCATATGCATATATCAGACTGAGTGTGATATCAGTGTTTATGCCGTGGTTTATGCCGTTGTTTATTCCGTGGTTTATGGAATTATCTATGCCACTATGTTCATATTATAAAGTGTGTACTGTATATCAGAAAAATACTGATATAAATATTGCTGTTTCCCCATTACTTCGTGCATGGAGCCCAAAAATTATTAGGCTAAAGCCGTGATTGTATATACCACCTGATGATACACGCCCTGAGGCTGAAAATTGTTGTACTTTACTACCTGCCAACCTCCTACTCTACCGATCTAGAGGGTTTCTAAAAAAATATGACGAGCTATTTAATTAAAAGTATTTTCAAAGATAAACCATCGACAGTTTTAAAGTGAACATTTAGTCTCTGTTCGGCAGTGTCCACATGTTTAGCCTACATTGTGATTTGTGACAAAAAGTTAATTACATTTCAAAATTTTATCAACCTTCACTATAAAATGAGACGCGTACTATTAGTAAATCTGCACAAAGTTTATCAACGTTTTCAAGCAAGAAATCTAATGTCATATTTTCGGAACAGATGAAAGTGAAAATGTACAAACGTTGACGACTGACCAGTTTGATATGAAAATATGTTTCAAGGGAATACCCAACTTGGAAGTTTAAAGTATACATTTTATTTGTTTCTTGACTTGACTGTTGATAAATTGCTACAGTGTTTCAGGTAATTTAAAAGCAAACGGAGGTATAAAATAGAAGTTAGCGGGCGCTTCGAACTATATACATAAAATCCCACTCCTGGTATTTGAAATTTAACGTTTTCTGTGGAAGCATGTAATTTAATACTGTGCCACTCCCCCTTGGGCAATCAATTTTTGTAGAGTCACGTGACCAGCCGATACCAGGGTCTTTCCCAAAAAGACCCTGGGTACGAGGATGTATTCAGTATAGCTCTCAAGCTATGGCACAGCGAACGGAAACTCCAAAGATGATTTACCCGAAATCCGCTTTGTTTTCGGAATGCAAATGTCGCCTTTGTGGTAGTATGATCGACAAGAAGTATTGCAACAACCTATTCTTAGAGCTAGCTGAATAGCGAAATAAAAACCTGCATCGTATCGCAGAATTTGTGAATTTTGGAACTCTGATCTTGCGTGTGATGACCGATGACGGATTTTCTAATCTTCCTAAATTAACATTAAATTAAAAGAATGGGGGCCAAAAAAACACCGAAGACAGTGAAGTCAATCGAATGTTTAGTATTAAAGTAGAGCAACTGGGGCCGTGGAGGGATATCGATCTGCAGAAATGATAAACAACTTCGACATAACTGTAGGAATTAAGTCAGGAAGGCATCCTCTCATGCACAAGCACAAATCTTCGGAGAAAATGTTAGTTTATCTGATCTCTTGGAATTGAAACCATTTGCAATCAACAATACGGTATATAATCACTTTCATGAAGGTTTCTTCACATATATATCATCAGATACTTTAGCAACATTATAGACAAATTGTCGCTGCATTTGATGACGTCTAGCTAAACAAACACAAGAGGAACATTCACCAAGCACGTACTATGCAGTGGACACATCAGAAGATGAAGAGGAATTATGACTGTGAATACTGTAACACTTGCACAAATAAGCAACAATGATTTGTATGGCTGTAGCACAGGTTACCAAGACTACCCTAGCTTGAAAGGATTAATAGATGCACAATTTGCACTTGTCCTATATTATAATGCTGCTATTCCAATCAAGGTTAGTGTCACATACTATAGTTAAATGTACAATTGAACGCTAAAAAGGTACTATTTTATATTAGCACATCAATAGGCCTCATGGGTATACAAATTAAATTGGTATTCATAATATATTTGAGGTGTTAAACTTATTGAAAACTATCATTATTTCCATTATTCATTTAGCACTCATATTATTGTACATCTGACTATTGTCTGTGACAACTTTAATTGAAATTAATAGCTGTATGGTTACAGTATACTGTATATATATACATATATATTAAATTTAGAATTTTGTTCTGGCACTACTGTATGGGTTTTTGTACTGCCCATGAAGTAAATTG